ATCTATCTATCTATCTATCTATCTATCTATCTATCTATCTATCTATCATCTATCTATCTATCTGTCTGTCTGTAGGGGGCTGGACTAGAAGACCTCCAAGGTCCCTACCAGCTCTATTCTGACTCTATCGAAGTCAACCAAGTATTTAGTCTGGATTTCGCATTTTTATCCACCTATTAAGTCCTTCCCAAAGACTTGGGATAGGCAGAGGTGGATATTTGATGGTGTGAAAGGGTAGAAGTTGTTTCCAAGTAAAGCTGCCTTTTGCAATTGACGGATGGTCCTCCAGTGGTGCTCCAGATGTTTTAAGATACCCATACTCAAGGTACCCATCACTATTGGTATTATCTTCGCTTTCTTTTGCCACACTCTATTTTCTATTCTTTTCTATTCTGCTGTATCCAGGTACTGCCATTGTCCAATTATGACCGTATTTCTCAACTTCAGCAACTTTTAAGATGGATGGACTTCAACTCCCAGAATTCCCCAAGTGGCATGCCAACTGGGGGAATTCTGGGTGTTCCAACTCCACCCATCTCAAAGTTACCAAGTTTGGGAAAGTGCCTTACATGGTTTTACATGGCGCTTACTTGTTGGTTTGCATAGTTTGGTATAAAAGATTAAAACAGCAAATTCAGTGAAGCCATTCAGGTTTTGTTTATTCCTTATGATGTCCACTATTAAGGATTCTTGGGTGTCCAAAGTAGGAGGACAAAAATTTATAGACCTCACCTGTTGGAGAAAAAAATATGTTGACTTCATTCAAGCTTTAAATAGGGCACAGTTCAAAGGAGAGCTTGCATAACTAGGAAATAGAAGTGCTTGTTTTCTTCCTTCATAACTTAACCTGTTCTCCGAGGTTTAATTTTAAACATCAATCATTAAGCAGCATTTAATGGAACTTGTTTACCCAGGATGCAGAAAAAACACTCCCCTACAATGCATATTGGTAAGCCTGGTTGTGTTGTTCAGCAAGGCCTGTATTCAACGCACCCATTGCAAAATTGCACTTGTGCCAACGTTTAATCAAGTGATTTAAAAAAGTTCCAATGATGGAAAACAATATTCTGATCGGCACCAAGAAAATGCTGCTGTTTCTATGGGAACAGGTCTGGACAATACGGGCCATGTTGGCAGGGTTAAATTTGCTAGCGATTGAAAAATTTAAAATATCCACATATAGCTCTCAAAAATTCAACAGCATTACAAGCAGGGCACGAGAGAAGTGAAGAATCAAGGTCTTTTCACTCAACACTTTGGCCTGGTTCACTGGTGTCTTTTAAGTTTCTTTCAATGCTGGTGTAAAAGATTTTATGAGCCTTGAGAATTCCTCTTACTGGAGACATTTAGAAAATACGGTTTTTCTGAATTTGCAAGAAGTGGAGCTCACATTGTCATTCATAGTCATTAGATTTCTTTTCCACTCAAAGTCACTTGAGGGTTATTATAGAATGGGCTAGCTTTGGATAGGTTTTTAAGAGTTGTTTACAACAGGTTTTGCTGGAAAGAGATTTTAGACAAGGATAACAAAGTCAGTTACTTGCTCAAGAGGCAGAATCTGAAGAGCTAATCTAAAATTTATCAAATGAAGCAGTAAGGTAATGGTTTAACTGCTGAACTTAAGTTCCATCATCTATGAAGGTCACTGATCAAAGTTTATGCTAATTTTAGTCTGGACTGTTTTATTTTAATTTATTTTTCTCTTAGGAGTCCCATTTGGAACTTAACAGGACCCCAAAAGTTTGTATATTTATCAATATTTACTGCATTAACAATTAAAACCGATGCACTTGCCACCATTTTTCACCCTTGACTGGATTTTAATATTGTATTCTTTTTCAACAAGACTGGCAAAATAATTCTGGCTCCCTGAGAGGGGAGAGTCTTTGGGTTTTCTAGGACAGGGGTCTCCAACCTTAGCCATGTTTAAGACTTGTGGAGTTCTGGGAGTTGAAGTCCACAAGTCTTAAAGTTGCTAAGGTTGGAGACCGCTGTTCTAGAACCTGTGGAAGAAGAAACACTGGTTTAAGCCAAGATTGCGGTAATACTAAAGGAAAAGCCAGCTATGTTCTTCTGAATTAGATTTGGGCGGGGGGAAGGGGGGAGAAACAGTACCAAAATCAAGATAGATGGCAGAAGGTGATGTGACTATGGGCCTATGGCAAGGCAAAAGGCAGATTAGGCTGCATATGAAAAGCTATACATCCCAATGAGGGCTAACATCTGTTTGGCGTTTTCCAGCTGTTAACCTGCTCAAGATGTTTTCCTTGAAGATGCAAAATCACTGCAAGCGAAACACTCTTTTAAAAAAAAATTACAAATGAAATAATAAAATAAAAGTTTATTAGAATTAGAACGCAGTTTCTCCTTCTGATTAGCCTTAATACGGAACAGTCCGCCAGTTACAATGAAGTCTAAGAACAGTTAATTCCACAGCATGAGATGGAGGTCTTTTATGATGGAGGGAGTGGGGGGGGAAATAAAATAAAATAAAAAAAGAAACTTACAAGCCTTCAGTCATAGCCCAGCCAACTCGCCTTACCCTCTTCCCTTACATGCTGGATTACAGGAGCTTTCTATACATGGAAAAGTCTGCCAAAGAACACCACTCTGGTCTCACACAATAACTGGTTTCTAATACAGCAGTTTGTACTACAACACTTTTTGAGTTAAATGGTTCTGAAAACTTAAAAAGACGGTTTTGATACATACACTAGCGATAAAACCCAAATGCAGTCACTTTAATGAGGAAGAAGAGATTGAGCGTGAGAAAAAAGGCCAGGATCGCCTCTGTCTGGGGTGGCCTTCATTCCATCTGCCCATAAGATGGCGGCGCAATACTGTATCTTCAACAGATTGCACCAACCAAAATTTAAAAGTAGCCGAGAATTTCTTTTTAAAAAAAAGGTGGTACTATTTGTTTTCTAAAGGATTGGGAATCAAGGAAGGAGAGGAGTATTAGGTCTAGAAAGAACCCTATATAACAGTGTTTCTCAGCAATTTGAAGATGCGTGGACTTCAACTCCCAGAATTCCCTAAGCCATCCTGTCTGGGGGGGGGAACTCTGGGGGTTGAAGTCCACACGTCTCCCAAGTGGCTAGGGTCGGGAAATGTTGGCTTAAACAATTTGCAAATCCCAATTTTAGGAAGCTCCCCCTCCTGACCCCACATGAACACCCAGAGTTATGAGCTCATGAAGTAGTAGAAGATACAGTGCAACAATGCTTCTATATACATTTCATTAAAAACAACCCTATTGTTATAATAATACAGGGGCAATGGTAAAATAGTGAGAGAAAGAGCCGAGCATGAGACGCGTGTGGGGAGATAGAATGGGTTTATTCCATGGGACTCTGCAAGGAATGGACCTCTTGTCCTATCAAGCTAGTTTCAAGCAGGGATGATAAAAAGATCGATACACACACACATGCACAGACACACATCCTCACCTTAACTAGATTGGAAGCACTTTGTCATGTCTTATTGCAGAGGTTTTCAAACTTGACAGCTTGAAGACTTGTGGACTTCAACTCCCAGAATTCCTCCTCCAGTCATGTTAGCTCAGGAATTCTGGGAGTTGGGAAGTCCACCAGTCTTCCAAGCTGTCGAGTTTGAAGGCCCTTGTCTTATTGGGAGCATGCAAAGACTGCAGGGGGAAAAAAAACCATTCAAGCAACAGGGGCGTTGCACTTGGAACGCAGAAATTTGGGGGAAGAAATATGTAGTTGCACCTTTCCAAAACCCGTTGACGAATTCCGAACTTTCATTCCAGGTAGGAAGTCACAAAGCAAAAACAACCTTTTCTCTCCCTTATACCGAAAGAGATTGTTTCGGGTTGTTTCGGGAACTCCGCAGGTAAGCCAAAACTAGGTCTTAAAGTCTCATCGGATGCAAAGCTGAGATGCCAAAACAGGGAAACTGAGTCAACTCCACATTTGCAGGAAAATCCCTAATCCAACAGCAGATTGTGCAAAACCCTACACTTCCTGCAGTTACGGAAATATTTGCCGGGGTGGGCGAGCAGGCTGTCCCTAACACACACACACACAACCACAAGCGACACTGGCACACACGTATGGAACTAGCTGAACAGATCCTTGGAAATTTAAATAAGTTTCTTTT